GGAACAAAAATCATTTTCTGGTTGGTCAGTATTCCTTCCATCAGGGCCTCTACAACCTCTTCAGTCTCCAAAATCTTTCCAAGCCTACACAGGAAAGCATACATGTAAGAGCTACAGTGGTAAAACAAGAGTGATACTAGCTCATATAGGATGCTTCACATATGCACAAACTCAGGTAATTCAAATGCAACCATTATGTGGGTTAAATGACACTGCAGATTTTCTTTAGCCAACTGGATATGCTGTTTTTATAGAGTCAGCTGGAATACACGGCCTAAAGCTGGGGCTAATATGCAGTGTCTTGAAGCAAAGAAGGAAGGACGGGAAGGCAGAGTTTTGATACTTACCTTGTCCTGGGGTTTTTGACAAATCCAGTGTTTATGAAAACCGGACAAAGACACGTAGTTTTTATTCCATCCTTTCCCAGGCTAGACAGCTCCTCTGTCAGAGCTTTATGAAATCCAACTGCAGCAAACTTGCTTGAACTGCGGGAGGGGGAAAAGCACAAATGAGATGGCAGAAGTACTATTTCTAACTTTCTGTAAGGGGAAGTGGCCTAAAAGATCACACAGTTCTGACTAGGAGGCAAACCAAAAATTGTAATCCAGCTGAGAGACAAGGCAGGGAATAATTCTGGCTTTCCCTGTGCCAGAGTGTAGTGCTGCATTAGATATTGCTGCCTGGGGGAGTCACTGTGGAATGCAGAGTGGGTGTCTTTCAGAAAAAGTTGCCTTAGTTGCAAACAGACAGATGAACGCCAGGAATTCGTGGAAAACGGTAACCAATGTGCATCAATCGATGGACCTCCCTTTTTCCCCATGTGAGAAGAGTCTTAGGAGGACTGCAGCCTGATTCTCTAAAATTAAGAAGGATGGGCAGAGTACAAATGGAGAATAACCCTCTATGGTTCCTCATAGCACACAGGAGCGTCTCGTGACGCTCGCGTGTGAGTTTTGAAATAGAGGAGCATTATGCACGCAGCAGTTGAGGAACGTGCTGCCACAGAGTGTAAGTCAACTCCAAAAGAAAGCAGAACCAGAGAATCAGTTTGTTGACTGCTGTTGATTTGGACACTGTAACTGGAGTAAAACCCCTGGCTGGGGAGCTGTCACCTTGCCAGCAGTGAGTGACTCTCTAAGAAGGAGTGTTCCCAGGGGAAGACTGCCCTGCCTGGAGCTGCTGTTGCAGAGGACTAGGTGTGACACAGAATGACAACATGCAACCTGACAGTTTTTCTGTTCATGCACTGTGATTCAAGCGCAATGTCATCTCGTGATGGCAGAAGTATCTCTAAACACTGCCACAATGGCAGAAAGATCAAAAGCTACTCATTAGGGGTTCACTTGACAACACTACCACATCTCACAGGAGTGCTACCTTCTAAGGAGGAGAAGGGAAGAGGATACCTTTTCTGCTAAGCAAAAGTCTGGATCAGCAAGGAAGAGAAAAAAGGAGAAGCTGTTGTCAGTTGATGTGTCACGTGACTCTTCCCTCCTACACGCATCGCCCCCAATTCAGCCAGAGGCACTAAGCAAATCGGCGGGAACTTCCAGGCATCTTTAGGTGACGGCTGCCGTGCTTTCTTCCTCCTTAGCACTGTCCTTTGGATGGACCGGATTCAGTGGGGGGATGATTTTGGTTACTCTCTGCTTTCCGATGGAGAAGACGCGATTGAAAACAACAATTGAAGAGAGCTGATTTTAAAATTACTTACCAATAAGCCACCATGAAAGAAGTCACAAAATGACCTGCTGCCGAAGCCACCGTGACAATGTGACCGTGGTTGTTTTTCATCATGGTTGGCAGAAAAGCTCTTGTGGTCTTGAAAGTCATTTAAATGGGGGCAAAAATGGGGGCGGGGAGGAGGAAAGGCAGAAAAGAACAGTGTTTTCTTAGGCATATTCAACACTGACCCTGACTATCATTAATTAAGCAGCTAATGCTGTCACTAGTGCCATGTGCTGCAGGGCACCTCAGATTCTGAGAGCCACAGAGAGAGCCATTCTCCATTCAGCTGGCACAACTGCCCAACTGGCAACCTGTTTTCCGAATGGGAATGTTTCAGGAGGTCGGACAGAAGCAGGAGCCGATTCTCACATCTTTCCTGTGCTGCTTTTAGGCTTCAGGTGTCCGCAGCAATGCTACCAGTGTCTCACCCCAGCATTTGCAACAAAACACTCATCAGCCTGTAGCTTCTCTTTCCTGCTGCCCAAACAGGTCCTTACCAGGACCTGAAGCCCTCCCACCCTGTAGCCTCTGCTGGCAGCTGCCCTGCCCCATGGGTCAGCTGCAGCGGTGCCAAGGACCCGAGGCCCAGCTCTGACAGGGCCCAGCTGTGTCACCTTTGGTGCAGGGCAGCCAATAAAAACATTGCTTTGTATTTTTCAGCTGTGTATCTTCTGCTTGCGGGGTCTCAGTGCTCAGCTGCGGGAGCCCAACCTACCCGATGCGAAGGGGAACCCTAAGACACCCATGCCAGAGACCAACCCACGCTCGGACGAGGCTGTTGCCCGATAGCTCACGCAGAGAAAAGAGAGAATGCAAAGAGAGCATGAAAAAACTGGGCCAGGCCCAGATCAGCAAGAGGATAATCAAGTTTCCCAACAGTCTGGCTGGGTGCCCCCGTGCTACACACGACCAAAAGATGCTTTTGTAACTCACTGCTAGCTGAAAATAACTGTTAGTCTAAATATGCCTCCTCAACAACGCTCCCACCAAATCGCAGGTAGGAAGATGGTAGTGGCCCTTACCCACATGTGAGCCAGAATGTTGACTTCAAACATTCTTTCAATCTGGTGGTCCTGAGTCGAGAGCAGGTCGGCAGCTGTAATCACGCCAGCGTTATTCACCAAGATGGAGACATCCCCAATGTCCTTCTTCACCTTTGGGACAGAAAAGAGCCAGACAGGTGCGTGTCATTCGTTATCCAAAAAGTGCAAGGCTGTGGAAGGTGAGGGACAGTTACTATAATTCTTCACGCTGTTCCTTTTAGGCAGAGGGAGACTGCACCACGTTTCCAGATGGGGTAGGAACTGTGCAGTAGTACCACAAAATCCGGTTTAGATCTGATGTTTCTCCCTTAATTACCGCCAGTATTTGTAGTCTTCCACACTCTGCGCACAGACACAGCACGCTCGGTGTAGTCAGAGCTGGGACTAGGGATGTACAGACCGCTTTGAGCCAGCTGGACCATACCCTTCAGAACAAAATGTTTCAAATGACCCCAGTGCTGTCTGTGTGCTGTTCAGGAAGTAAAAGGCCTGGAAGTCTACAGAGCAAACCTGGCCACGAGGCATGATACGCCGGAGCCTCACAAAAGAGGATGAGACTGGCTGCGATCTCAGAAGCACTACTTCACTCTCCAGACAGAAAGCAGCCCGAAGTGTGGGGACGACAAGGGCTTGCATGATTTGCGTACAATACCTCCTCTCTTGTTTACCTGACGTTTCTGAAAATGGAGTGCGTTTGGGGAAGCCTTTGGACGTGCCCCTGCTCCCCTACCTTCTCTGCAGCTCTGTAGATCTCCTCCCTTTTGCTGCAGTCCACCACGAAGGCTTGAACAGTGGCTCCCAGCCTTTCGCATTCTGCTGCCGTGTCCTCAACGCCGTGCTGTGAGAGGCAGGAAAGAAAGACACGCGTGCGCAGCTGCACCCTGCCCGCACGTTGCTGCTCCGGCGCCGCGGCAGGCCTGTGAGAAGCTGAAAGTTTGTCCTGGTTGCGTAACCGCGGCCAAGCCCCTGAACAGTCCA